GACATAATCCGGACGTGACCGAGCCACCTTACATGATGCAGCAAAACCAACCTGTTGAAGAGAAAGCTTGCACCACCTAAGGACACGAAGTATGACTTCACTACTGCAAATAGGTTGTTTAGCCATCGTACACGGAGCACATAAAGTCGAGGGCCAAGGGCCTCCGAATGTCGTTCACATGTACCGTCCACGACTAGTTTCCACATGGCAGCACCCGCCCGAACGGTCGCATTGTAAACACTTTATCAAGAGGGAAACATCCCGACTACATAACAAATGTTTCAGTTTGACAAAACGCCTACCGAGCCTTGGGGATGCAGAAACAAACTTTCCCTACTGATAGCACCACCAACAGACACGCAGCTGCCCAGGTAGACAAAGCTATCAACGTGTTAAAACTGTGCACGGAGGAAGGCGAGTACCAACCTTGGAGCAGCGCTTTGCAGTTGGATGGAGCAAAGCACATTCCGTGTCGAGATGCTTCAATCGGCATATTGTTTAAAATGGTTTGCATATTCTGCCAGCTAGTACCAAATTTGGCAACCTCCCAGAACTCTCGACAGGACAGAGACATAGAACAACCTCATACACCACATTGGAGTGCAGGAAACTCAAACTGCGCGTAGCCGGTTACTAGTTGACGTTTAGCGCAGATGGCGCCAGAGATGTTTTTGAAGCTTTTAAGAGGACCAAGCTCCATTGATTATGGCACTGCTGTCTGTGGAGTAAGGTGAAGAATGAAACGGAACAGTGGGAGTCACAAGAAAGCAGTTACGCCAAGGATAACTTGACTGCAAGCGATGGTTAATCCGACAGTTCAGCTTCGGCAAGGTGTAGGCCTCTTGATAGCGAAGGTTCACTTAGGGGGCTCGAGCTTCAAGGTAAGAGCCACTTCTTCCCTCTAGTATTCCATAACGTCACTACCATTTGGCGGCAAACCATTAGCTCGAAGCACAAGTATGATGACTGTAGCGATAAGAAATGTTCGTGGAATGGTTAGCTGTTTATGCGAAGATCGTACAACAGGGAGTACGCAGGTAGCCTGGATCGACTAAGGGCCTACATTCAGAAGAGCTACAATTGTAGCTCTTGGGGATGCGTATCTAGTACTTATTAATAAGTACTAGATACGCATCCCCAAGAGTCAATATTTAACTGAATGAGTGTGATTGCAGACTACGTAGGCTACTCAACTTTGGGTCGTAGTTTCGGGAAATAATTACACAAGGGAGTGAAAAAGCTGGGAACGATTGCAGAATGTGAATAGCGACTATAGTACATTTGATGAAAGTAGGAACGAAGCTTCTACAAGCTATTTTAGGCTAGGGAAAGACGTCAAGGAGAGAAAATTGTGAATGGGATGCGCGTACCCGTGTCTACTCTTATGTCCGTGTCTTCTATCGTTGCCATCTTCAACATCCCGCAGGGTTTGAGGAAGGACTTTGCGATCATCACTGATAGGTGTATGGGAAGAATCCTGCAACAGTTTCTGACACCGTCTGAAGCGGAGTTTCTCGTCGATTTTCTTTTGCACAGGCACAGGAATGCGAGGAAACAAAGTCCCAAACCAATCTAGCTTGGTCAACCAATGTTCAAGCATTGATCCGATGGTCATGGTACAACCCCCACCCGCTTTGACATCCAATTCCTGAAATAATGCGAGGCTTTAGTAAAAATAACGTAAGCGTGACGTGCGTCGGTTAGATAAACGTCGTAAACATGTTAAGGAATGTTCTAAACCAACCGCTTTTATGACTGGTCCAATACACTGAGGAACTCACCTCAGCATCATCTAAGTATTGCGAGTACCAGCGCCAGTAGTCGTCCGGAGGGATGCAGTATCTGAGTATAAAATCGGACAAGAATTATAGACTACCTTATGTACATAAAACCAAGAGCCCGAATGTAAGGAGAATCTGGATGATCAAGCAATCCCTTTAGTTGTTTTCTGGTTAGTTTTAGAGTGTACAACTTATACAATAAGCAGAAGGCAGTAGAAACGATCCCACCAGCTCCGACACCTCTTACCCCGCCACACATGCCGGTTTGGCCACCAACCTTGCGGCTCCCCCTCTCCCAAGGCTCCAAATGTTCAACCTAAAGTAATATCAAAAACATTAATCTGCACCTTGTAATATATTTCATCAATCACTTCATGGTAAGTTTTAAGCTCAATAAGGTTAGTCTTGAAATAAGGCGATTGAACAATGTTTGTGTAGACCATCGTGTTAAGATTCATCGTTTGTTGATTCCCCCACAGTTTGAGCACATTACCTCTCGGAGCTTGCTCGTCCTCATCCTCAAGCTGAAGATTGACACCAGGAACGGCCTCCGTGTACGACAAGGTCATCACGTAAATTGTTGTAGTTTCGGTACAGCTGCCCTTTAACGGCTTAGAGCTGAATAGCTGCACAGAAGCTAGCGAACACAATTCACGGTGGCGCGGAATTCTTCTACTCCGCGAACCTTGGACTGCGCGCGGTAGATCAGAGAAAGACGGGCATTCAAATTTAAAATTGTGCTATTACGGTGTTCCGCTAAACGGCAAAGTCCATAAGCAATTTTATGCCGTAAGGGACAACAAAACCCGTTAAACTAGGTAAACCAGCAGATGTGGATGTGATTATTCGTTATGAGCGTCTATAATTAAACATGGCCACGTCCGCACTGTGGCAGCTTGTCTTACGAACACGAACTAAAGAAACCTGACACAAATAAATATCGTAAGTAAAGTTGCGCACACGTGGGCCTGGGTGTTCCATCCTAACCTAGAATACCGTGCAAGAATAACGTTAAACTGCAGAAAGACCTTCCTGCATATGTACAAGCGACTAACACTTTTAAAGTTTTAATTTTGAGGTGTCACCACTGCGCATTGGCCACAGCAATATTCTCTGTATAATTTCAACTTTAGTATATGTACCGCTGGAGCGAGTACAAGGGGCAACGCAACCCGGATTCGGACTTTGGCCGCATGGCTGACTAACGGGCACGCTACCATTAGGCTATATTCGGGTTAAGTCTGCTGCTTATATGTTAGCCGAAAAGGCGTTCGTCAAAGCAAAGCAACGTCAAGTCAAAGATGGATAAACTCAAAGTTCCTCACTTGTTAAAGCTTTTATAGGTTAGTGAGGCTGCATTAAAGGATTACAGCATTTCTTTCTCCAGTATTTTGCATAATTTGGTTGCTACAGGCTGTTGAAGAGTTGTCCAGTATCATAAATCACCGTTTGATATGACAAAGCTTAGAGCCATTGGTATCTTAGGAACATAAGGAGCAAGCAAACGATGTAAAAAGCTGGCGTCTAGTCGCAACCTCTCGTTGGGTCAGGTCCAGTTTTTCTTTGTATGCAGTGCGAGAGGCCATAACCTCGGATGCCGATTTAGTGCATGCTTGATGGGACTGGCCGCGGAGCGGAATTCTTCCGAGGATCGCCACTGTTTCAGTTGTAACAGCCAAACCCCGCAGTTTCTATCTGTTATCTGTCGGTGCATCAGCGATTGTCCTTGCTAGGCTGTTCCCATCATTCAAATTTAAATAGGTCTGGCACGATAGGAATATCCTTCGCGTGTTCCTTTGTGGGCGAACCATTGAGTCCGGAATGGATAGAGTACTAGGTTGTCTTGATGGACCTAAACCGAAATACCCGGGTCACACCCTGGTCAAAGAAATATTCCTCATATTCCCAGCACTAGCCGTCCTTGCCGTACAGGTCAGGTGATGTAAGAGGTAGAAAGATGAATATATTGAGTTAGGTAAGTCAATGAAATGATGGATAATTCCATAGAATGATGCGATGACAGAATATGAAAATAAATTTGAAGATGATATGATTAGGAAAAGGAAAGCTTGCTTGTTGCCGTCCAACAGTTTCTAGTTGAGGTTCGATACTCTAAACGTAAGTGCTCTGAGTACATTTTATTGATGCTAGCTCCGGCGCTCGGTAACTCTACACGATAACAGAGTTTCCGCTTTGATCCTGTCGATATGCGGCTCGTTTAGTGTCATGGGATGTCCGCGAAGACAAGTCAACTTAGCTTACCTAAGTAGCCAGCTCAAGTCCTGTCTAACCTACCATGATAAGATACCGTAACTAAGGATTTGCTCTCCTCGAAGCCGGCGGTAATGCATGGAATGCATACCCAAGCTACTTAGACTCTTGGGGTATGTGTGTCCCAAAGCCCCTGGAACTACACGGGTTGATGAAGAATGCTCTGGACGGGTGTAAATATGCCGATCTTGTACAAATTCCACTTATTTCCCCGCGTCGAGCTCTCCACGTTGAGCTGAAAGGGTTTTTATACCACACTATTAACTTCACCTGGGATCCATGAGGGGCAGATAAGATCCCCACGGCGGCAAGGATAATCCATGGGGGATAATCCTTAGCTTCCATAGTCGGATTGGGTGAGCACGATCTAAAAGATGCACTATAAATTTTTAGCCACGCACCTGAACGCTTTCTAGCACCCGACACTCAAGTTTCGAGAGAGGATGAGTAACTGAATGCCCATACTCCAATATTGGACAACTACGTGATGTGTAAAAGTTATACTGCTTGCCAGAGTGCTATGTGAGAAAGAATAGTGTAAAGTAACCAGTATCCAGTTTTGGGTCGCGAGCAAGTGCAGGATATCTTCAGGTGTTTTAAAGGTATGTGACACGCTTAAAGTCAACCTATTTTCTGGCCTGGTTTCCTTGCGATGGAATCTGCCAAGATGGTTCGCACCGAAGTATCCATGTTCCTAATCAGGAGTAGGGCGCAGTTGTTGCGGCTTACGAGTAGATGCCAAGTGATGGGCCAGATGTGCTCCTGGTCTCGCGACGTTTGGAGTTATCAGCGTCCCTGTTCCCTCCTTTGTAGTTGGGCATTAAAACCCATACTTTCTAGACAGATGTTAACCATCCGTCTGCAAGATATTGCCGGAACAATTGATGCATTATATCAGCAATGGGTTCGGCTAGAAGCTTGAGGAGTACCAGGTGAAGTCAATTAATGCCCAGCACGGAGTTTGGGTTCAGTTCGAGGAGTCGTTTCTTGAACATCTCGGCCTTGATTTCCATTTGTTCGAGAGGTGGATAATACGTCTACAGGTCCTCAGTGAGCGACGGCGGGGCCGCGAAGTAGATCGCAGTGTATTGTGAAGCCGGTATCTGAGTCTTCACGTAATTTTAGTAAATCACTCTGTCTTCCTCCTGGCAGGAAGAAGCCGAAGTACTGCAGCCTTCTTTGATGTCTCCCTTCATGTATGAAGACAATTGCTTCCGGCAGGTTCGTGTTGGCATGACGGATTGGGGTTGGTGTTGTGCTAATTCCTGGTGCTTTTTGGTGCGAAAAGCTATCTAATAACTTTTAACTTCATGTAGCCTGACGTTACTTGTGTTGACTGGAATGCGCCCCCCTGATTGCGCCGTCTGTTCAGCAGGTACCTCATCCCTTGGTCTGTCCAAAAGGGAACTTTGTGGAACTGCCTGCCCTTGTTTTATGTCTAAGTGAAATCTAGTAAAGCTGGCTGATGCTCAGTAATAGGAAAAAGAATCGCAGACATTGACAAATAGTGCTCGCAACCTGCTATTTAGGCTTGGGAGTTAGATAGCAGAAGCTTCGTCTTCCCGCGTGCATTCGGGGTATTCTGCACAAGGCGGAACTCTACGATAACAGGATCAGTTCATTGACGGCATTTCTCATTCTATTTCGACCTGCTGAAACCGGCCCTTCAGAACAATGCATGTTTCACCTTGGAGTCGCGAGGTACGCTTGAGAACGCGTTTACTTTCTTTTTCATGCTGGCAGATAATTTTTCACTTGCGAGCCTAGGATGGATCACACTGGTCCCTGCCTTGTCGGAAAGCTGAGAAGATGGTAATACCCTGCTCTCCTGCATGGAAAAGAATGGATATCATCAGCCTCAAACTGTCTGGTCGTAGCGAATCCTCTTAGGCAATAACACAGTCGGATTCACAAAACTTCGTAATTATTACGAAAGGACGGCTGGGTGAGCGGTTTCATCCTAGGTGACCCATCATTTGTGGGACTGGCTTTTATTCAATATTTTTCAACTAGGATATCTGTGTCAATAATGATCTTCAGTTGCATTAAGTGTACTTTTGCTTTTGTCCTTGCAGATGCACTTTTGTCATGTCTATTAAATAAGTAAACAAGCGGTATATTTCTAAAAAAGCTAGAAGCTGTGCGCACGAGAGATCAGATTAATATAGACATGGAGCGTATGCTGCTGCGTGAACATTTAGGTAGTTGCGCTTAAGTGTTCTGGTTGGTGGATGCCCTGCATAGCGGTGAAGCGATGGGTTATATTGTGTCTGCGGCACGTAAGTTATTTGCTGGTGTAAAGATATGTCAAGCAAGTGGTTTTGCGCCCACGGTGATTAGCGACTAGACTTCTTCGGTCGATATTTGGACACCTTCGCCAGTACAAAAATAAAAATAAATTGTTTCCTGACAGAAAGCGGAAGGTAAATAAAGTTTAAAATTGGACCTTACGAAGCGGCGAACTTTATTAACACAAACAACGTAAATTGTGCCGATATTTATTTATCAAATTTGACCTGGAACGCGAGCTTCAAAGCCACGCCAAGGGTTTAACAAAAAGGAAAACCGCATTAGAGCAAAACAACTGCTACGACGGAAAATACATTGCACAGTCTGGACGACCTTTGGTCGCTGAACGCGATAAGAGTCAATCTTTGAGCTATCGGCATTAATTTTCAATCTATGGGCTAAAAACTGACTGTCTTTTTATAACGGCACATTTCTTTGGCTATAACTAACGCAGGAGAATAAGAAATCTTACAAAAGACGAAAAATAATGGTCACAGTTATGTCTTAATATGTCGAGGTAATTGGAAACGTAGCGTGGCACTTGAGTAGCAGCAAGTATTATGGGCGACTTGGTTTATCGCTATTATTTCTGTAGCGATTTTGCCTGCTACCATCGCAAAGGTCTTCGTCTATATTTTTGGCGCGTTGCACTTTTTAGTTTTAGTAGTAGCTACGACGCAATAGTAGTGTGTCCTCTAAGGAAGAAATTCTTCATTTATTTTGAGCTGCATCGGCGGACCCAGTGTGTGGCAGTGTTTCTGGCAACGGATTGTAGGATGCAGCGCTTCTTTTCATTTTGCGCGTTTAATAACCAGACCAAGGTGGGTTCCCAGGTGAACCAGGTTGTTGCAAGCAATGGTTTGCAGGCCTTATGCACAAGCTAGCTGTACGGAAAAGGCGTATAACTAAATAAATGGTTTTATTCTAGATGAAACTAGACCCACATGGACAGACATGATCAAGTGGTTGACAGAGCCCCAGAAACACTGTAAGCGTATGTAGGTTATTCGATAGACATGTTTTCCTAAAATAAATTGCTTTGAATTTTGGTACCTGATTTTCGCTTAGGAAGGTTGCAAGTCGTATGGACATGTTCAGTGTTATCAGCGAGACGGGTGGTGCCGATGAGCAGTAAAATGTATAAGG